CTACTTAGCCAAGTAGAAACTTTAGGAGGCAAGCAAGTCTCCTGCTATAATGGATGCTGCCATCAGTGCTAGGTCTCACACAATGAAGCACACTCTTCCACCTCTTTTCTTTTCAGCAATTAGTCCAGGAATGTCCTAACATACCCTCCCCACATCCCTCTTGACAAGCGAGAACGTAGAGAAATGCTGTGATTTTCCTTTATGTTATTCTGCCCCTCTGAGGTGTGTAGTATTCTTATATCTCCCTAAACCCAAACACTTTTAACCCATAAGTTTTAACCAGAGCACAGAACTGCAGAAATATTGAGGCTGGAAGGGGTCTCTGGAGATGAGGTAGTCCAACCCCCCTGCTCAAGCAGGGTCAGGTAAAGGAAATTGTCCAGGACTGTAGTCAGTCAGGTTTTGAGTGTCTCTAGGGATGGAGACTCCAAAACCTTTCTGGACAACCTATTCCAGTGTTGAATGACCCTTACAGTAAAAAGTGTTTTCATCTGTTCAGATGGAATTTTATTTGTTTCAATTTGTGCCCATTGCCTCTTGTCCTGAGCACAATGAGCACAAAGATCTGCTCTAATCAGGACTGAGGACATAAACCTATTCCCGCTTCACATTTTTCTTTCACATTCTTTAATGTCCATGCAATTCTTGTCCTACCAAAATATGGCTAGTTTTTAAGAAATTCTTTGCAGTCCACATCTTGAAAAATCTCCAGTCAACCCTTCTTAACTCCTTCCACCTCATTCAAAAGTTCATCTGAAAACTTCCTCTTGCTTCATGCTTGCTTCTGCAGTAAAATAACACAGGGGGAAAGAAACTCCAAAAGCATGTTATTCCACTCCTAGGACCCTGTAATGCAACCATAGAAGAGAAACTCTATTAGCAAAAGTCTAGTGCAGGTGGATACACAAATTAAGACTATTCTGCATGAACCTGTAAGGGTGAGGAGTGTTCTGCTGCACTTCATTAAACTGTATTTCTCTATTTTAAAAGGAAATTGAGTGCAACCTGGTAAAATTATACCATTAGTCTCAGAAAAAAATGCACTCTGTATCCAAGGTCTTCAGTGTTCTTTCCTCAGAGCACAGTTTAATATTCATAACAAAGAAAGGAAAAGCACAAAATAACTGTACTGAAAAATGTTGCTTAAAATCCCTGAAAGCTTCTTCTCTTCCTCTGTTAACCAGAAGAGAAAAAACACATCCCTCATCATTACCCACTCTAAGACAGAAAGGCAGAAATGTCTCAGTCTTGCCACAGTGAGAGGCTTGTATCACTTGACATTAAAGCCTTGGGGTGACTCGGGCTTCTGGAGCATGGGATGAGCCCTTCAGAGAAGGGAATATTAATAATTAGACTAAAAGGAGCTGCTATGGTCAGTTAATATTCAACTGAATTTATGGCTGAGTGGTAAAGACTGTCAGAAGCTTAGTTGATTAGACAAACATATGGACAGGATAGGCCTATCAAATCAGCCTCTCAGGATCTCTTTGTCTTGCATTATTAGTGGGCTTTTTTTGCTATAACTCTACAAGCAATGCTTTACTCTAAGAAGCATCCAAATATTTGGGTATTTCAGAATGTGGTGGGGATTTTACTGCCCCTGTTGGAACATTTACTTCACCCAACTATCCCAACCTATACCCACATAATCGAGTGTGTGAATGGAGGATTACAGTGGAAGAAGGTCGACGTGTGACTCTTACCTTTAATGATATGAAAACTGAAGAACACTGGAGGTGCTCAGCAGATTATGTGGCTGTGAGTATTGAGTATAAAGGCAGAAATTGATCTTCCTAATCCCTTTATGAAGTATTAGTGGATGTAATAAAGCCTGAAATGTCACTTATAGGTCTATACATGGTTTTAAAACAAGTCATAATTGAATCTGGGGAAAACAGATAAATTAAAGGAAGTTATCTCTGTAGAGCATGTAAACTCATCTGCTTGTTTTAAGGTATGGAAAAGTTGAAATTGTGGCCCAAGCAGAGGGAAAGACTTGAAAAATAATTGGAATTGTCTCTTTAATGATTATGAAAAAAAAGTTCTTTGGTTTTTGAAAGCTTGCAATGTCTCTTTTCTGTGGACACAAAGTCCATCAGTTTCAGGACTCTTGACTTTGGAGGTTGCTACTGCTTTTGTTACTGATTGTTGTCAATTTTTTAAAAAAAGAGAAAAAAAGAAAAAAGAAATAAGAAAAAGCCAGAGAATGCAACAAATGACTACTAGTGGGTTGAACCTTGTATATTCTTAAAGAAAGATAGGAAAACCCCAGGCAACTCTACCTCTTTATCACCCTCCATCTCCAAAAAGATAGATATTGGTTGTTTTATCATGTTTATTTTCAATTTCTGGTTATTTACTGAAAAAAAATAAATCAAATCTGGCACATAGACCCAGACCTGATCAGATATACAAATGCCTCAAAAATATGATTCCGCTATGAAGTTGCAGGAATGGGAAATAGAGTTTAGTTTCCTATTTGTTGAGCTCAGCAGTGCAAGCACAGGAGCTAACTGTAGGATAATCAGAAGCCAGGCCATGCACAAGTGTGGTGGTGGGGGTGAAGTAGCTATCCCTTGAGATTTGCAGATGATGTTTCCTTTGTTTTCCTTCACATATGCTTTAGACAAACCTTTGGGAGCTGGCTTTTTATCAATTAATGATCTCTTAAAAGAAGATTTTTCCTGCCAGCTTGTATGCCTTCAACACTCTAACATATTCCAATTCTCAGTGGGAAACATCATTTCTGCCTTGCTTGCTCTGCTGAGACAGTAGTAGAATGAAGGAAATTGCCTCCTAGGCTAAAGGCTGTATGAAAGAAATGGAGCAAAATGTCTCTGGGTCATCAAAAAGTGAAATGTTTGAATTAATCAAAAATCCCCACCAGCGCTTGATATGTTGGAGAAGATTTTGATAAAGCTGATGTTGGCTTTAACATGAATACAAAGATGATGATGTGAAATGGAATGAATATGATCAGCTGACATTATTAAGTAATCGAATATATAAATATTGAGTTAAACCAGTTAAACAGAAACCAAGTTTCTGTTTTTGAAAAGGAGAGAGAGAGAAGGGGGGGGGAATATGTTTGTATTTCACCAAAATAAGCAAGGTATTGTCGATGTTTCACTTCAGGGCCTCATCCAATCAAGGCAATGGAAGTTTGTTATGAGGTTTTGAGTAGATTTGAGAATGAACCTGCTGTGAAGGACATCGATGAGTCTTGTATTAAAGATGTGAAACACTGTTAAATGATACCAAAATGATACAAGACTGTGTATTGATCTCATAAGGGTTTACTTTGACCCCACAGGTTTACAATGGCCTCAGACAGAACTCTCCCCGGCTGGCCAAGCTGTGTGGAGAGGTAAATCCAGGCACTGAGGTGAAATCCTCTGGAAACACAATGAAAGTCATTTTGGTGACAGATATATCCCATGCAACCAGAGGCTTCAGTGCCTCATATACATCTAGTGAAGATGCAGGTAGTGTATGTTTTTTATTTAAGTGATTGATTTTTGGTGAGTCATTTCATAGCTAAAGTACAGGCACATATAAAAGAAATTACCTAAATTTAACAAATCTGATACCTTTTTTTCCTCTTTCATCTCTGGATGGGAATAGATACATATATTTAATTAGCTGAAAGGACTTGAAAAAAAAGGGAAATCTCTGGGAGTTATGTACTTCATCTGCCTCTGTATGGATCACAGTCCCTAGTCTCCCTACTGATTTATTGTTTTGTACTTAGTCTTGAGTAAGAGATGGTCTGAAGTGGCCTTATTCCATTAAAGTTCCAAAAAGCATAGTGCCATAGACAAATCGAATAATTCAAGTGCTTCCTTATTACTCAGGAGAGTAATTAATTTATAGTAGCTTGTGAAAGAGTGCAGCTAACCTACTTTTGCAAGCTCTGCCTCCAGAGAGGAGGCAGCTGGCAGGGCATTACTACTACAGCCTTGAGTCTTTTGAATTTGATGTTCCAACCCCCACCCCAAGCATCCTACTGTAGCGTGAGTGTACTGCTTTTGAGGGTATGTTCCCAAAAAGTCTTCTTCTGAGTCTAGAATTAGGCAATGAGTAGGGTTGAGCAATGCTGAATTGAAGCTGTAGTGAGATTTTATCAAAATGTTAAATAATGCTTGTTGTATTGACAGTGACGTTGAAATATTTTGTTTGATACTGTATGTAATTTTTCTTTGCTTTACACATGTATTTTTAAAGACTTGCCAATAAATTCCAGGACAGTAGGCAAGAATTCTCTTGTACACAGGCATAAATTATAAAAGGAGTAAGAAGATGGTAAAGGTTTTGATATAATCAGCACATGTGCTTACTGACATGAGCATATCTGAATAAACGGGCAAGATTTCTTCTCATACAAGAATTATTACTATTATTACTATTATTTTGCTTCTGCAGTTTGTGGTGGAACTCTGATGGGATCTGCAGGTGGGAATTTCTCTTCTCCTGGTTATGATGGCATCAAAAATTACACAAGTAACCTGAACTGCGAATGGATCGTTGAAAATCCCTACCACTATAACTCATCCATTTATATATCTTTTGAGGATTTCCACTTAGAACATCACCAGAACTGCCAGTATGACTACCTAGAGTTACGAATAGGTTTGTATGTTCA